AGCCTTGAGTTAAGAGGAGAAGTAGGTAAGGGGGAAAACTGTTCCTATATGGGTTGTAACCTGGTCTAATTTCCATTACAAGGAAATTGGCAGGTTACTGCTGGCATCATAATACCTTAAGGACGGAGGCTATAGTCCAAGTTTGGAACCAAAACAAAACCTAAAATCTGACCTATATGTCTGCTCAACCATCATTTTTCCTCTTTACTATATCATATGTGCACCGACACTTATTACACATCATTTTGTTCAGGAGAAATAAGGATTTAATTTCACATACAACATTTATAAATGGTACACAATTTAATTTGAATCCAATTTTTAAAAAAGTGTAAGAAATATTGCTAAGTTCTGCATGGCATTTTAACTGTGAATGTTATAATACTTTAAGCATTTGGTGCAATAAAACACACATTTGAATGCTTTTATGTCCCACAAGTACAACAATACCCCTCATGTACAGGTTTTATGGAGTTTTTGGAAAGTTACAGGGTCAAATAAAGAGCTTGCCCATTTTAGTTGTTACACATCTATGTTGCCTTTGAGACCGTCTGTCAACCCAGGAATGAAAATGAACCCCATCATAGCATGCCATTTGCAAAAAAATAGACAACACAGGGTATGTCCTTTTTTTTTTGTAGCTACTTAGTCATAAACCCTGGCCAAAATTAGTGTTTAATATTAGTTTTTTTGCATTTTTCACACAAAAACAGCACTTTTACTGATGATATAAATCGATATTAAACATTTTTATTGCTCTAAGTCAATCATATTTGTATTCAGCAATGTCTCACGAGAACAGTACAGAACATGGGAAAGTAAAGGGTCAGATATAGGGCATGCAAATTGAATGCTCTTTTATTTATGTCTGGGTTGTCATATATAACATTAGTAATATACGTAAATCGGGTTAATACAAAGTTGGTTGGGGTGTGCCATAACCAACGTACGGGTAGGCCTGTAATAAAAGAGGGCTTGTCTGATAATGCGACCGTTCTCTTCGACCCCCTGCCTTAGCTCATTTACGAATGTGGCAAAATTTTCTTGTTTCTTGGAATGATATTTCTCTGATTATTTTCACCTCTTCTCACCATCACGCTCTCAATCCACACATCAGACAGGCTCCCATCCAGAATGTAACACTTCTGTGAAATCAAACTGTCCACTTAGGAAGCAACACTGAGTGACAATCAATTTCACATGCTGTTTTGCAAATGGGATAGACAACAGGTGGAAATTATAGGCAACTAGCAAGACACCCCCAATAAAGGAGTGGTCCTGCAGGTGGTGGCAGTGCTTTCACTCTAGTGGTAGCATGAGACAGAGTCTACAACCCACACAAGTGGCTCAGGTAGTGCAGCTCATCCAGGATGGCACATCAATCTGAGCTGTGGCAAGAAGGTTTGCTGTGTCTGTCAGTTTAGTGTCCAGAGCATGGAGGCGCTACTAGGAGACCAGTACATCAGGAGATGTGGAGGAGGCCGTAGGAGGGCAACAGCTCAGCAGCAGGACCGCTATCTCCGCCTTTGTGCAAGGAGGAACAGGAGGAGCACTGCCAGAGCCCTGCAAAATGACCTATAGCAGGCCACAAATGTGCATGTGTCTGCTCAAACGGTCAGAAACAGACTGCATAAGGGTGGTATGAGGGCCCGACTTCCACAGGTGGGGGTTGTGCTTACAGCCCAACACCGTCCAGGACGTTTGGCATTTGCCAGAGAACACCAAGATTGGCAAATTCGCCACTGGCGCCCTGTGCTCTTCACAGATGAAAGCAGGTTCCCACTGAGCACATGTGACAGATGTGAGTCTGGAGACGCCGTGGAGAACGTTCTGCTGCCTGCAACATCCTCCAGCATGACCGGTTTGGCAGTGGGTCAATAATGGTGTGGGGTTCTTTGGGGGCCGCTCAGCCCTCCATGTGCTCGCCAGAGGTAGCCTGACTGCCATTAGGTACCGAGATGAGATCCTCAGACCCCTTATGAGACCATATGCTGGTGCGGTTGGCCCTGTGTTCCTCCTAATGCAAGACAATGCTAGACCTCATGTG